AGGGGCTCATGGGCATAAATTCAAGAATATTACAGACCTCTAGTTTGATCAAAGCATAAAGATCGCGATTAAGGTCCAACAGACAAACGTACCGTGCGACTGCGAACTTACTCAGCCTCATCTAAAGCTCCCAACACCTTCCACCTCCATCTAGACTGGTCAGGCAGCTCCAATTCATACCATGCAGGCGTACCAGGAACGTGTTCCACCAATTGCCACCCCAGTATCTCTGCCACGCGCAGCAACCATATCTCGCGAATTAAGCCATACCGCGGCCTACCATCCGCTGGCTGCACAGGCTCAGCAGGTGCTGTCTCTACCTGTTCCTTGATCATCTCCTTGGCGAGTTCCCGTAGGCGATTCAGATGATAAGGTCCTATGTGGAAGACACTGAAAGTGTCATGCACAGCATACCAACCAACCTTGTGAATCTGGGCATCGATTTCTGCATCGTAGATAACAGCTTTGTGAATTAGCTTACTCATAGCGTTCCACATGAAGTGTACGATAGCTTGCGACCATAATGTGTCTATGAACATGTCGAGCGTAAAATGATGTGGCACGTCTGGGCGCGATCCTGGGTGGAAGACTGGCAGGGATGATTCCAAGAACAGGGTGCGTCGACATTTAGGGCACGTATTTGAATGCGAAACGTTTGTGTCGATCCACTTTTTGAGACAGGTAAGACCGAAGATGTGCTGACATTGCGTGCGTGTGGCTTTGTGCTCTTCATTGAATGCTTCATGACAGATATCGCAGGCTTCTATGATGTCGAGATCCCTGAAGAACTTTACTTTTGTCGGAAGTGGAGATCGTGGTGGGGTTGAGGTCATGATTTGGTGGTTCACTGGAGGTGTGGGCGAGGCCCGGGTTGAAGTTGAGGCGGACTAGGTAGCTGGTGGCAGATGTTCTTAGCTAGCAACTGGTTGCTGTTTTACCTAGTAAAAGATAGTAACGTGATGTGTCCTGTAAGTTTTTATTATATTGCTTCACGTATCAGCCGTAGCAGCACATGATTGGGGCGTACTTTAGTTGCTACCTAGGTAGGATGGGATTTTATTGAGAACCACGAGTGTACTGAACACGGAACAGCTTCACTGCTCATCTATGATTGATAATAGTTCCAATGAGCCGCGTACTGCTCAACCTCACAAGTACTATTATACAGAGCTGACGGCTGTCATCATAAGCATGCTCCCTTACTATGATCTACAGAAGAAGTCGCATTTATCCCGCGGATTTCGGAAGTGATCCAGCTATCTGATAGTAAGCTTCGGGATTTGAAGACCTGTGGAAGACGTTAGTGACCTAGAATCTCCCTGTGTGAAGTTGCGATGTCGGCTTGTCTACAGCAAGCAGTGGCTTTCATAATGTGTCCATGGAAACAAAACGAAGAGAGATATCAGAAACGTAACTTGAGAGCTCCAGGTAACGGTACCAAAGCTGTGTTCTGTCAACCTCACCTAGATGAGATTTGCGTGGTACTGACAGGTGAGGGGTGCGTCATGGCCACGAGACGCTAGTGCCCACGCTAATTTCGAAGTTACGTTGAGGGCAGGCGACCATGTACCCGAACCATCAACTTTGAAACAGCACAACAAAAGAACGCAAATACATCTCCCATTTCAGAGACGCGACTTACGTGTAGAATTCATCTGAATCATCAACGCAACCAAAACAAATCACAACAATGGCCTCGGAAGTAGTCAACAAGCTGCAGAACCTGGTCACAGGAGAGTCGAAGAGCGCCCGCAAGAAGAAGGGCAAGCAAGAGGGAGCTACCGCAGTGCCCGCTGCGCCTGAGAAGACGTCATCCGAGGCTGGCGCAGGTGGCTCCAACCCCGCCGGCAAGGCCAATGGAACCGACAGCGACAACTCGTACCTCCGCGAGGTTCAGAAGTAAGTCGCAATCGCATCGTGGTTCAGGGACCGCATGCACAATTGACAGGACTCACTTACTAAGACGCGTCTGTGCAGGAACATCCGCAACATCAACAAGAAACTGGTAAGCTAACAGTGTCCCTCACCCCTCGAGCCCTTGCTTACATGGCATTTCCAGAGCGCAACCCAAAAGGTCGACTCCATAATCGCAGCGAATCCCGGCGTTTCTCTCGACGACCTCCTCGCTTCCAAGAAGATCAATGCCGACCAGAAAGCTCAAGCCGAGAGGAAACCCGGTCTCCAAGCTCAGCTTGCGCAGTACGAGGAACAATACACCAACTACAAGAAGTACGGCGATGAGCTTGAGGCCAAGTTCGCAAAGGAGAAGGAGGTCCTGTCCAAGTCACACTCGTCGGAGCTGGAGACATTGAGGGGAACGATCAAGGCCGAGGCAGCGTTGGAGCAGCAGAAGATTGTCAAGGAGAAGTTGTTGACACTATCTCGCTTCTTGAGGGCCGCAGCTGCTCGTCGTCAGCTTGAGGATGACGACTCTGACCTGACTAAGGCTTTCGAGGGCGCTCTGCTCCAGGTCTATGGAGGAGACGCCGGCGCTGTCATGGCTGCAGAGAAGCTGATCGAGGGCGCGGAAGAGGGAGTACCATCCACCGAGGGAGTGGTACTCAGCGTCACCTGTAAGCTCAGAAGTGTATGAAGTGCGCCGTCTCAGACTGACTTTGTATAGATTCCCAGGTCAAGCAGGCAGCACTCGACGAAGCCCCATTCGCCGCCGAAGAAGCTTGGGTTGACGACGTCGCGCAGTCTCAAGCAGCTCCTCCGGAGGCACAGGCTGGCTCCGACCCAACCATCACCAACGCTGGTCTTACTGAGATCGACGCTGGCGCGAAGCCTGTTACTGAAACCACCGAGACCGCATCAGCTGCACCGGCGGCTTCTGGCATTGGAATGGAGTCAGCAAATGCTGCTGCAGAGGCGCAATGGGACAAACAACCTACCGGCGCCGATGACCCATTGACTGAGTCCTTCGAGATGGTACCGCGAGACCCTGCCGAGACCGAGACACCACACGTCGCTGCCGCCGTAACCAGCACCCAGAGCTGGGCCGACGATACTCCCGAGCCGAGCGCCGCACCTGCCGCACCTACATCCGGTAACGATGGCTTCTCTGAGGTTCACCACAACCGTGGCGGCCGGGGACGTGGCGGCCACCCAGGTGGTGAGCGTGGCGGATACCGTGGCAGGGGCCGAGGCGGTCCTAGGGGCGAGTTCCGCGGTCGTGGACGTGGCGGCCGTGGAGAGTTCAGGGGTGGGCGTGGCGGTTTCCGCGGCGCTCCTCGTGGAGAATCCTCGTAAAGTGGATGAACTATTCCTGCAAAACGACTCGCACATTTGGGGAAGACTAGTTGCGTGAGCAGCTTTGATACCTTGTTTGGAGCATCTGAGCAGATGAAATAACGAAAGAGCTGGGAAGACAAACGTACAGCCCATTGTGTTTAGTAGCATAGCATCGGTGCATAGGATCAACATTTTCTCGGGTATGGGACGGCTGTACTATATTCTGGGTTATGATCTGGCGCTTAACGAATGGCCTGTACAATATGATTTCTTGCTTCAAGTGACATCCATTGTTCTTTGTCAGTCCAGTGATTTATGTTTGTGGTCATGTAGCTGAAGGTTGTTTGTTGGATCTGAACTAGGATAGGGTACTTGATGACGATGACTGAGCGTGCACCCCTGGTAGTAGCGGCCGTCGATCCGGAGATTTTCCATGGGGGGCGTGCTGGCTCGTCATGTTCTCCGATTGGCGAGTGTTGGGTAGTACGAAGTGCCGGTGTGGAGTTGCAGCGCTCGCACGATATGATGCACATCGCGTACAAAAGACCAAACATCATCTTATAGCTCTCATCATCAGATTCATGCATTGGGGGATGATTTTCCTCCTAGTATCTAGCTTGTTGCTTTCCCTTCAGAGCATATACACAGAAGTCTTCGGGACCTGATGGCAGCCCCCATCAGCTCCTCCATGCAGACAACAGCCGATCGCATAGTAAACTCAGCATAGTTTCGAGTAGATCGAATACCAAAAGCGTTGTGAAGGCATCCGGACTTTACTGTCGCAGTGAGCTGCCAACAACCTGCACGGCATGGTAAAGTCAAACAACAGTGACAAATTGCACGGCAACTGTGCAGTATATAGGCCCAGAAACAGGATGAGTATACAAGACATCTCTTCTCGAACTACGTCAACCGTATTGGCTTATCGTGTTGTTGGTGAGGCGCGGCCCTATTCTTGCACATGGCGGCGTGATGCACGAACTAGCGGGTCACTGCAGCCGTTGAGACAGGCGCCAGTCAGAAAAGCTTAACCCCACAGATTCAGGAACCACGTTTCACGTCCGATCCAGTTGTAAACGCATCGTGTCTTTTCTGTTGTAGACTGGATGTCGAAGAGAAGCACAGTCAGCCTCTCGGAAGAGTTGAACTTGCAAGCTAGCCATAAAAATGCCCAAGTGAGTTCGTTGAGTGCATCTGGCATTGCTGTGGTGTGTTGGCTACCACATGGTGAACAGATGGAAACTATGGGGATCTGATAAGATGAGATCCGTAGATGTGGCCTTGGATGACGTGCATGCCAGTCACCGCGCACAACACTTGGCGCGCTTTGCGCAGAGCAGTAGAATGACAACAACATACAGCACACGCGATCCCTTTATGTGGATCAGGCTTTGTGTACCGCTTGAGGGATCAGAATACATGCAGCTCTTCTGACGCTTTACCGGTGCTGTTGTCGCAAACTGCCCATCGTCAGGCGATAAGTGGCAGGGGTTGTTGCGCTTAACGCCTAGCGCAGACCCACGACCTGCAACCTCCTCATTCTCGCCTTCGCACCTCCCTCAGCATCATCCAGCGACTACGCCCCCCAGCACTTGCGATAACGCTTATCAACGACCCTGCAAGCTTCGCACACCCTCTGCGCTTGCTGCAAAATTGTTGCGGTACTAATACATCGACGCGCGCCCGCCCCGGCGGAGAAGCGACGCATGGCAGCAGCTCCACAGCCCCTCTGAGACATTCACGACTCGACAACTACGACCTTCACCATGGAGGCGCCCCCAGATGTCGTGCCTTCCGTTGAGGCGCCGCCCGCGACACACGATGACTCCACAACGAAGCCAGCTCTGACGCCGCCCACGAGCGAAGACAACGACAAGCGATTCGAGAGGATGTCGTCCGAACTCTCCGAGCTGGACAGCGACGACGGCGAAGACATCGAACCAGACCATTACTTCGAGGGAGGAAAGATACCCGTGTTCAAGCCAGTAGGTTGCCTCCATGCAGATAACCTCCTACCCAGGCCGAGGAGCACGCGCGCGCATGTTATGACTATGACGCGTGGAAATAAACTACACAAGATACTAACTACCATCTCTACAGACAATGGACCAATTTCGCAATTTCAAGCGCTTCATCGACAAGATCGACAAGCATGGAATGAAGTCGGGTATCGTCAAGGTTATTCCACCAGCGGAATGGTAAGTCTCGATTATGCGCCTGTTGTATGACCTCCCAACTTAACTCATGCCAGGCGCCAATCGCTCCCTGATCTTACCGAAGCCGTCAAGGGCATCAAAGTCAAGAACCCCATCACGCAAGAGTTCGCTGGACAGCACGGGATCTACACACAAGCCAACATTGAGAAACAACGATCGTACAATCTGCCGGAATGGAAAGCCGTGACGGACGAGCCACATCATCAGCCGCCAGCCAAGCGAGGCGAGCGCCGAAAGGCTGCTGCCGAACCCCCCTCTCGTACCCGCTCGTCGCGCGCCGCCCCTGCAAATCGCGATGCCTCGCCTGCACCTAAGCGCGGACCTGGTCGCCCTTCTCGAAGGCGCCAGGTGAAGAAGGAGCCAGTCGAAGACGATGAAGACGAAGATAGCTCTCCCGAGGTCCCTCCCACACCCACATCACCCGGAAACGAGGGGAAGAAAACACCAGCAAGGAGGATCAAGAAGGAAGCGCGCGGCACACCACCTGCTAGGGCACGCGGTCGGCAAGCCAAGACAGCCGACGAGAAGAAATCCGTCTCTTCTCGGCGTCTGAATAACCGCGGCGCAGTGGCCGATTACATTGACGAGGCTGCGTTTGAGGACTTCGACTACCACCTGGATGGCCTTGATGAGTACACCGTCGAGCGATGCAAAGAGCTAGAGGACAACTATTGGAAGACGATCAACTATGGCTCGCCCATGTATGGAGCCGACATGCCGGGTTCTCTGTTTGACGACTCGACCACCTCCTGGAACGTCGCGAAGCTACCCAACCTTCTGGATGTTCTTGGAACCAAGGTCCCTGGTGTCAATACGGCCTACCTCTACCTGGGCATGTGGAAAGCCACTTTTGCCTGGCACTTGGAGGATGTGGACCTTTACAGTATCAACTACATTCACTTTGGTGCCCCCAAGCAGTGGTACAGCATATCGCAAGAAGATGCTCGCCGCTTCGAAGCTGCCATGAAGACCATCTGGCCAAACGACGCAAAGCATTGCTCGCAATTCCTTCGCCATAAGACCTACCTAATCTCGCCTCAGCGACTGGAAAGGGACTTCAACATCAAGGTCAACCGTCTGGTCCACTACGAGGGCGAATTCGTCATCACATATCCGTATGGCTACCACTCCGGGTACAACATTGGCTACAACTGCGCAGAATCGGTCAACTTCGCAAACGAATCTTGGTTGAGCTATGGTCGGATCGCAAAGAAATGTCTCTGCGAATCTGACAGCGTTTGGGTTGACGTTAACGAGATTGAGCGCAAGCTACGAGGAGAGCCAACACCGGAGTACTATGAGGAGACTGATGACGATGACGGCGACGATGACGGCGCTGATCGTCTGCCCAGTCCTCCAGCCAGTGTCGCTGGCAAAACCAAAGGAAAGCCAGGCCGTAAGCCAGCCGGCAACAAGAGGAAGCGCGGCAAGGAGGATCCTAAGGAGACGTCTCAACCAAAGAAGCTCAAGCGCATTCGCATCCGTATCAGAATTCCAGGTCGAGGTATGCCCTGCATTCTCTGCCCTAATGATGTGGAGTACGACGATCTGCTACCGACCGACAATGGCATGAAGGCTCACCGCATCTGCGCGGACTATACGCCTGAGACTTACATCGTCAACAAGGGCGATGTCGAAACTGTGTGCAACGTGGCCAACATCGGCAAGGACCGCTTGGAGCTCAAGTGCAACTACTGTCGGTCTAAGCGCGGCGCCGTCTTCCAGTGTTCGCAAAAGAAGTGTACTAGGGCCTTCCATGCTACCTGCGCGGTGGCTGCAGGTGTCCAGGTTGACCTTGGTCCCATGCCTACCTTCGACGCAGAGGGCACAGAATACTTTTACGATGGCTACGACTTCCGATGCCGTTTTCACCGGCCAAAGAAGCGCAACAACAAGACTGTCGATGTGGAAGCACTGGAAAAGGACAAGTTTGTTTTGGCCTATGGCAAGACTCTCAAACCCAAGGACGTCATTCAGTTCCAGTACGTGGGTGGCGAAATGTACCAGATCTACGGTGCACAGGTCGTGGAAAACCGACCTGGCGAGCAGGCTGTCCTGGTAGATGTATTGCCTGACGGTGATAGAGTGGAAGTCGAGTGGAAGTACATACTCAAACTTCATCCGGACGAATCGCAGCGACTGAAGCCGTCCGCAAATGCCAAGCCACTTCCAGAGCATCTTAAGGAGAGCGACGCATCCCTTGACATCACGAACCGCACCGACGGTGTGCCTGAGATGGGCGATCCTTTCCACGACCCCAACTCCGAGCACAAGTGGGCTGAATGGTATACTGCTCCTGAGGTCACTCGGAGAGTGGCTAAAGTCGATCTCAGCAAGGAGGACCGGCTTTGGTACTACCTTGGAAAGCCTTCAACCGAGGCTAGGCCACAGTACACTGAGAACCCTGCAAAGCCTAGGAACAACCCCAAGAGCAACTTCCTCGAAACCGTCAAGCCTCCTCCCCCGCCAGTACCAGCCTTCCATCGTACTTCGTACCCAGCCTCTTATCCAATCAAACCGGCACCTATCGCAGTACCTCCGCGCACACCGATGCAATATCAAACACCAGATGGTCGGCCGTACAATTACAAGCCGAAGGAATTGACGATGTCGTCTTACAGGTCGCCGGTTTACAACCCTGATACTCGCAAGAATCCCAATTCGCCAGTAGCACATCAACCCAATGTCAGCTATGATCATCGCTTACCCACAGGACAACAAGGGCAGCAGCCATACCAAGGCTATCACACGCATCGGTCACCGCACCCTTCGCAGCAGCAACAGCAGTATCAGCCATATGTGCCGCCACAGAGCTACTCTAATGCGTCCTGGAAAACACAGTCGGCAACGCCTCTGCTCAATGGTATTGACAAGTATGCGCAACCGGCACAGAATAACGCTCTACCGCCATACCCATACTCTCAGAGTCCTCGTCAATTGCCACCCTCACCATACTCACCAGGCGCGGGACACATTGCTGCTTCACCTTATGGTCCACCAAGCCATCAAAGTCAGGCACAACCACACGGTCGCGCGTCGATCTCAAACATGCTGAGCAACCCTACTGGGACTCCCAAACCTCCAATGTACGCCGTCACACCCTCCTCTGAAGTCATCTATGCTGCCCAATCCCCCACTGAGTATTTATCCTACGTCATGAATTATCCCTACCTCAGAAATTGTTATTTGCGGAGGACAAAAACTTACATATCACCCTATAGTCTGGATGGTGGAATCGCACCTGAATGGATGCCAAAGCAGGCTACGCCGAGAAGCAGTGGTACACCTACTTCCATCGCACCAAGGCCCATCGCGTCACACGGAGCCGCGCCTTCTCCTGGATACTACGGACCACCGCCGCCGACAGGTCTACCTGCACCAAGGCCATCCGCACAATTCCAGTCTCAGGATGCTTTTCAACGAGAAATGGCAAGGACGACGCAGACTCCCGAGGCGCCAAAGTGGGAACAGATGCTTAAGCAGCTCGCTACATCGACAGGCCCCACAGGGACGCCATCCATGACTGCGTACTCGCCACAGGCACCTCAACCTCGCTACCCTCCCTCGGGGCCCCGCTCCAGTCTATCGTACGACCTACCTAGGAGCATGCAAGCTTCGCAAATTCAAACCCCACCAGGACCGCCACCACGCGAGCCACAACGACCAACACCTAGCCCCATCAGTGACGACGGTAAAGGCGGTCTTGTAGCTGTACCAAGGGATCAAAAGCCAGTGCTGCCGCCTCTGCCGCCTACGACGAACGTCCACGGGGCTGAGACATGGCGCTACTCGTCTTAACGGCATGTGAACGGTTTATGGGGCGTTCGGTGGAACTAGTGTATTGTAACGACATGTATGACTAGAGGGTGACTTTCGGCGTTTCCAATAGGGTCATGGCATGGGCTGCCAGTTTCCTTTTCAATGCAGCATTGTCGTGCGGCGGGAGTACAATGACAACTTTTATCTGTTCAGCGGTATTATTCTTGGATCGCGATGTGTGCAAAAATGGTGTTTAGTAAACGCTGTGCATAGGCGTGTTACACCCTTCACACCTTGACAGATGAACACCGGGTCTCCGGTAGGAAGCGAGCCTTGGCCAGCTGTACCGTCGCTTTAGCCGTTGCTTGTTTTCGGTTGCCGGCTGCTAAAGTTTCTTGGCCCGAAATGAAGGCCCGTGTGGCATGGAAGCGACATTGAAACGCATAGAGAGCAGAGACCCACCCGGACAACATAAAACACCAGTGGAGTTTCTCCGGGCGGCATTGATTGAGGCGCAGAAACAGGTACTGACGTTCAGGCGCCAATGGAAGCAAACGTCTGTTGTGAAGTTCATCGCGAAAGCATCGCAATTTGCCAAGGGTGTGTGGGAGGGTTCGGTGGAGTGTTCCAGTCTCAGTACCTGGTCTCGCTCGAAAGAGCAAATACAGAGTGCACACCGTAGTTCGTATGAATCAAGACGTTGGTACCAAGCGCCTGGAACTGTCATGCGTAGTGGAGGCGCGCGCTGTCGTTGACCCACTTTCAGGGGGGCATGGTATGAAACGATGAAAGTCGGAAGCGACCATACGGAGATAAAGGCGCTGAGGCTACGATCGGACCTACGGGTGTATACCTAGGTTTGCTGCAGATTAATGAATGTGAGGAGTAGAGCGCGGTCTGCCGGTCTGCCGTGGTTGCGTTTATGCCGCTGGGTGGTGGGAGATTTGGTGACGCGTAGATGTCGTTTCTGAGGCGCTGAGTTTAAGCGAGTCGAGATGGTTCTAGTGTGCAGCGGGCGGGAAGAGTCGTCGATTCTCGGCGCCCAAGCTCTTTGCACCATCATCAAGTACACAACATGGTATCACAACTAAAGAATGAAGAGTTATTGTAAGAGCATAATGTGTGTACGGGAATTCTGCTGCAGAGAATGTACAGCCACTGCATCCAAACACCGGTGCAATGACGTGCTAGCTGTATCTGGCGTCTGTTCAATGTTCAACCCCTCTTGCGTTTCGCTTTGACATGTTCCTTGCGTCGATCAGGAACACCTGGCCGAGGACTGCTCAGCATACTCTGTTTACCGCCAGGGTCAGAAGCCACACCATGAAACAAGCACCGCCATGACAAGTGACAAGCCCACCTTGCGAACATCGAGCACCCCAGCTCCACAGCCCTGAAGCATTGTACACGGAAGCGGTTCCCTTTCTGTCAGCTCCACTCCTTTCATTTGACACATGCACAGCGATGCGCCATTTCCGACATGGCAGTATCTGAGTATAAGAGTACCTCGCGCCCAGCATGTGGAGATTCCTCACCACCACAGTCATTCAGTCAGTCGACATTCGCTCTCTTCACCTTCGTTCACTTTTTCACGCTTGAAGCGCCTCACATTCTTTACTATCTTCGTTGATCTCGAAGTATCTTTTTGAACACCAACCCTTTCGTCCAAACCAGACTTTCCAACACCCAACACTACAATGCCTTCCGCAATTCAAGCCGCTGCCATCCTTGGCGCCTTTGCTGCCTCCGTCAGCGCCCACGGTCACCTTTCTGCCATCAAGGTTGACGGCAAGGACTTCACTGCCTACGACCCGTCTTTCCAGTACCAGACCCCCTCCCCCGAGGTTATTGAGTGGTCCTGCCCCGAGTGCCTCGACAACGGTTTCGTCGACCCCTCCATGTACGACGATGCCACCAAGATTGCCTGCCACAAGGACGCCACTGCTGGCGCAAAGGTTGCTACTGTCGCCGCTGGTGGCAAGCTCGACATCTCGTGGACCACCTGGCCCGAGTCCCACGTCGGCCCCGTCATCGACTACCTCGCCAAGGTCGACGATGCCACCAAGGCCAAGTCTACCGACCTTGAGTTCTTCAAGATCGATGCTGCTGGCTTCGAGGACGGCAAGTGGGCTTCTGACAAGCTCATCGCCAACAACAACACCTGGACCGTGACCGTCCCCGACAGCATTGCCCCTGGTCAATACGTTCTCCGTCACGAGATCATTGCTCTCCACTCCGCTGCCCAGGAGAACGGTGCTCAGAACTACCCCAAGTGCATCAACATCGAGGTCACCGGCTCCGGTACCGCTACCCCCAAGGGTACTCCGGCTAACAAGCTCTACACTGCCACCGACCCTGGTATCAAGGTCAGCGTCTACGGCGGTGACATGTCCAGCTACGAGATGCCCGGTCCCGCTCTGTTCGACGGTGCCAGCTCCGGCTCCGGCTCTGACAACGCTTCCGCGCCCAAGCCTTCTGCCTCTGCTCCTGCCTCGTCCGCCCCTGCCTCTTCTGCCTCTGCTGCTCCTGCTGCCACCAGCTCGGCCGCTGTCGCCGCTGTCTCTACTCCCGCTGCCTCTGCTTCGGCCCCAGCTCAGACCGGCAGCGCCAGCCTCGACAAGGAGTTCACCCTCGACACCTTCATCTCCTGGCTCGAGGAGAAGGCTGGCTCTTCCAGCCAGAAGGTCCGCCGCCACCCCCGCGCTTTCCGCGTCTAAGTTCGTGGTGCGATGACAATTGGAGGATCTGTGATAGGAAAATCCTGGAGGATGGATGATGGAAAGTAACGCCTTGGTGTTCTTCACTTCTTGTACCTACTTGCTTTGAGTCGCTTTGGCTCATTGCTTCTTTGACTGAATGATATGTGTTGCACATTTGACTACTGTTCTATTTGCGTGCAAATACTTCAGGTGCCTGTGATTCGAGTGCGCTGATGAAGACCGATGATCTCTTACCAACTTCTATTGTTAGCTGACTAGGCATTTTCGATGCTACATTGATGGTAGTGGCAGCGAAGCAGCAGACTATCATGTGTGCTGATTGAGAGAGCAAGCGGAACTCGAATATCTCTGTCATATACATCAGCGTTACCCCACCTACTAGCAGCTTTTTGCTTCGAGCCGCCCCACTTGCACACATGCAAGATGCCCGCACAGAGTCGTATCGTTGCAAAAAGAAATATAAACGCAATTGCTCAGACATTTCCTATCAACCGCATCATCCGATATAGTCCATCGGCTAGGATATCTCGCTTTCACCGAGAAGAGCCGGGTTCGGTAAGCCTCCACAACACCTCCCTTCGACTCCTTATACTAACAAAAATCAAGATTCCCGGTATCGGAAGCTATAAGATCTTTTTTTTACTGCGACGCGCAGTGCGAAAAGAATGCGTTAGGACGCATGAAGCTTTTTGGCATTTTATCTTTTCTGGCAAACTTCACTCGTGCCTGTCTTTAATATTTTGGGCATCTACTCGCGCTGCACAGAAAGGTGCATACACTAAGCTTATTACTGCATACTCTGTTACTCTTTTTCTGTATTCGTTGGTGTGCTACCTGCTCTCTTGTTTGGCTCTTCTTTGCTGCGAAGCGCGAAGCATGGCCTCCGCCCTAACACAGATTGTACGTGCTTCTGACGCTCAGCACAAGTAGGATTAGTATTATTTCAGCACTGGAATGAAGTCTGATCGAGAGCGTACAAACTGCACTTGCAACGAGATACTTTAGTATTGACATCTACGAGCTCTTCTCGGATCGCCAGCCCTTTTTGTTCACGGTGTTGCGCGACAGCCAACCGCTTCGTGTAGGTCTATTCTAACAGAGTTACCTGCAGTGCGACAACAAGAAGATAGGAATTCATGTTATCTTAGACGTCTACAATGGAGCATGTCTTGACAGGTTATATTACATAGTCTAGGTTGAGGTATACATTGACCTTTATGCTGAGAGCCTACAAATGTGTAGCACTGCGAACACCTCCAGGGTAACTTCATTTCTATCATACTCATCAGAGGCGCGCATATATATATCTGCTAAATCCTGCGACTTAACATGTCTTTCAGTTCTTCTCCTAGTTCTGCTCGTCCTCCGCTTTCTTCTCATTCTCAGCCTGCTTCAAGTCAAAGGCCTTGACCTTTTCTCTCTGGGACTGCCTCCACTTGGCCTGATTCTCCCTCTGCTTTCTCTTGCTCTCGATAGCCTTAGGGTCCCCTTGTGCGATCTTCAGATCGCGGAGGGCTCTCGACCGGCGCCCTGACTCTAGGGACTTGCTCGGTGCCTTCTTCGTAGTCGACATCTTGCTCTTGTCAAGCGCATCGTTGAATGGTATCTTCCCATCCATGGCAGCAACCTTCGCCTGTGTGGTTTTGTGGGTTTGCGTGATGCTCTTGCGCTTCTTATCGAACTTCTCCGCGGCGATTTTGTCACCAGCGGCGATCTTTGCTTGGTTCATTTTGTAGGTCTGGCGATCGTACCCTTCCTTTGACAGCCCAGCCTTCAGTCCGGTCACTTTGGTCCTCTTCCTTGTAGGTCCCTCTTCTTCGTCGTCGTCGTCTTCTTCGATCAGCGCGGTGTTGTCCCACATACGCTCCATCGCCTTCTCGAACGTGGCTGCGCTTGGCCTATAGCGCGCGATCATCTCGGCGCTCTGAAAGAATGTCCGGCAGTCCTCACCGGCGACGGTGTGCACCTTGTAGATGAGCGCGATCTTCGAGATCTCTGCAACGGTAAATGACCGACCTTGAAGCCAGTCGCGGAGGCACTCGAAGCCAGATGGAGGTCGTGGCCACGTCAGCGCTGTCCTCAGCTCTGTCTCCTCGCCATCACCGTCAAGGAAGTCGGCGAACACGCGCAGCGGAACGAGCTGTCCAGTCGAGTGCTGGTGCCATGTCTGCGTGGTAGATAGAAAGGCGGGGAGAGAGACCGGCCGCCTGAAGTAGACCATTGTCAGGTCCACAAGGCGCTCTCGGAGGGCTTGCCGATGTTGGACCTTCGTGGTAACGTGGGCTCGATACCTCTTGAAGCACTCCGGGTGGTTGATGTAGAGGACGATGCGGCTTAGCTTGCCGTGAACATCACGTTCCAGCCACGCTATCCGTCCTATGCCGTGTCCGAGTTTGACCTCGGTCGCGTTGATGTGGCTGAGCTCGAGGTACTGGTCGTATAACGCTTGTGGATAGCGACCAACGACAAGCACAACTCTCGCTGTAGACAACGATGTGGGCCTATGTGGTGACATATGCGCGATACCTCTCCATTAGCTCTGGATGTGGGAGCATAGCATCTCATGCAAGAAAAAATTCGAACAGGTCTGGAGACTACATCAAGATGAGAATGTGCAAAGTGTGAGACCCAAAGTCGATGTAGGCCCCAGGCTGTCCAGTGTTTTTTCTCGATTGACGTGGTAGCGAAAATGTGATGCGACATAGTTCGCCGTCTGCGTTATTCGCCAGCCATGCCATGCGACCTAATACAGCTTCACATGGTTTGCTGCGTGCTGGTCTAACCAGAAGGGCGGATCGTCTATGTACGGAGCTTGCTCAATGGCATTCGGAAACCAGCGATCCACAGCAGGGTCGGTCTTCGGCCAAGTCTTCGTCTCGCTGTCGTCACAATGCCCATGGATTGTGAAGGGTGTCACGGGCTCCGCCCTGGCCGTCTGAAGCAACTCGGCAATCTCTGGATGGTGAGGGGAGAGGCGAGGCAACAACTCCTCTACGTCTTCAATCACGTTTTGTGTGGTCGCTGCAGTAGTATGAAGTTAGTATACATGTCTCATGCACTTCGCTCAGCCAGAACTTACTGTATGCGTTGAAGAGTCTCGCCTCTGATATCTTGATATCAGTCTTTTCCAGCTTCTTGAGCTCTTGCGTGTTGCGTTTCCCTGCGAATGCCATTGTGATGGCGGGGTGGGGGAGGAGGTTCTGATGGCGGAGAGAGGGATGCTGATGGCGGCAGGGTTCTGAGAGCGGCCGCGGCGTTTCGACGGCGGCAGTACTGGTCGCGAGCAAACTGAAGGGATTGAGCGAGCTACGTCATATCTGAAATCCCAGTGTGCGAGACGCGAAGCTTACCGCGTTTGGGTTGTTGTTTACTCGCTTCGAGGAAGGGGAAGGAGCAGCCCACCATCACCCCGCGCGTCAGACCATACCAGTATCCAGAAGGCCGTAAAATGCACATGGGACAGACCATGTATCCGGATCAGAGCGAGTGTAGCATAGAAGTGGTTGTACGTCGTCAACGCCATGAGCAGCGTGTCCTAGTAGGGCATGGCCATCTACTCCAACCTCCTCAAATCGTCCTTCTGCAGAGCCGCCACAATGTCCACCTTCTTCTTGGGGATGGGCTGAGGAAGCCCACGTGAGCGATACTCATCACGAACCATGTCTCGGGACTGGCATGCGTATGCATCTTCTGTCTCTTCAAGGCCGCGGCCTTCCTCCATCTCTGTGCGTCGGTCTTCTTCCTCAATCTCTGCGCATCGACCGTCTTCCTCCAGCTCTGCGCGTCGACCGTCTTCCTCAATCTCTGTGCGTCGGTCTTCTTCCTCATTCTCTGTGCGTCGGCCATCTTCCTCTGTCTCTGCGCGTGGACCTTCTTCCTCTGCCTCCTTCTCTGTCTCCTTCTCTTGTTCTTCGAAGTAGCATAGGCGGTACTCGTCGTACCATTGCGTGTACGAAGAAAGCATGAAGCCGACAAGACCATGCTACGCAGTGTTAGTGCGTGTCTTGTACAGACAGCGGATACAACATACCTCCAAGTTCTCGCGCAACACATCGCCCAGGACAGCCATGGTGTTGTCACGGACCTTCCGTCGACTGGATTGGTAGTCGCATAGGAGCCAGCCACTGCTTGGGGTGTCGTGCTGGATCTGAACAGCTTTGCATCGAGGAAGGGTCGTCAATAGCGCGAGCGCAGACTTGAACTCTTTCTCACCCGACATTGCTGAGAAGGTATCGCCATCGGCTGCAGCTACGGCGCCTTGATGCAGCTGGTAGAAGAATGCGGTTCTCGGGACCTTGAGGCGTAGTGTGGTGATGTGATCGCTCCGCCGCTCAAACTTTGCAAGTGACACTGCGCGCGCAGGAAAGTCGGCGTCAAGCTACGGAAACGGAGTCAGCATGTGCTTGTGTCTCCCTCATCTGAGACTCATCTGGGACTCATCTGGGACTCACCTGGAGGGAAGCGGCGGTCGAATTGACAATGTTGTAGAAGCTGTCTTTGCATCTGCCCACGAGCTCCTTGTTGCACGTCTGTCGGAGAGAGCGAATGTCGCAGCACGCAAGATGGCGTACAATCATGCCAAATAGCTCGACTGGAACTCCCGCCAGACTTGCACGAGGAGCCCGCTGTGCTTTCTTCTGACGTGGCTGGCGACGGTCGCGGCGGGGGAGGTTTCGCGAGATCATCATGTCTAAACTACACATGCGAGCCTGCAGCAAGGCAGCGATGCTGCTGGTGCTGTACTTTTTGATATGCGTAAACATTACAATGACCATCTTGCGCGCCCCGCCGACAAGGCGTTGGAGCAGGAAATCCAGAGTGCCTGCGCTGAGGGGAAAGAGCGTGGGAACGATCTGAGAGACGCGACGGGAGTGGGCGACACCGAAGCCGGGAAGATTGCGCAGGATCTGAACGAGCCAGTTGCAAGATCCTATACATTTACAGGCAGCGACGAGTAGAAGGCGCAGGTTGTTCTTGTTCGTGGTCGTGAGCAGAGT